TCGCTCTCTCTCCTTTCCCTACCTCCACCCTACCCCCATCCTCTTTAAATATCTTCTAGTTCCCTCTGCCACCCCCCAACACACACACCCCTTTCTTTCTCAACTGAACTGTGAGATCTGTCACATTTGGGCTTCTAATCTTCACGCAACAAATATCCAATATGCTGTGAAATGTGCTGTTAACGTACAGAAGACACTGCCCCGGGCACCTGTCTGGGGAATATCTGAAACAACTCCTCATGCCCTTTAAAGAAACAGAATTAACAGCCAAGGCTCTTCCCCTTGCCCACACGCCCACCCAAGCCTGACTTGGAGTAAATGCTCCTGGTTTAGTTTTTGACAATGAATGCTGGGGAAGTGAGTGGGATATGCCAGCCCCTGTAGGCTGCTCTGTACGCTCTGTTCTCAGGGCTGTTTGCTGTGCGGGCCGCAGGCTTCAGGCCTTTGAAGGGTTGAATACCATCTTTTGATTTACCATGGCCAATGGGGTGTGAGGAAGCTTTACAACTCAAATACATAGAAAAGAAAACAAAAAAGCACAGAAAAGACCTTAAAAACCACACAAACCATAGTCAAAACCAAATGGAATAGAACAAGAAAGAAGGACAGTTCTTAGTAATAGCTTTAAGTATCTTAAAGGAAAAAGAAAAAGAAAAACACAACTACATTAGACACCACTCAAAGCAGTCCTTGCTTATTCATATCCATTATCAGATGCTTTAGGGATTCTGATGTATGACTGGCCAGATCTTAGCCTGGCTTAATTAGTTTGAGTTGAAAATGGTATCCACCTTGTCACTTAAAGGGGATTTTGACTGAGTTAAACAGTGAGATCTTGCATTTCACTCATGACCTCTTGGATGTGACCTGTCTCCTCAAAGAACCAGCTAACAAACTTGGAATTGATGGCTTGGCTCTTTGGCCTGCAAATATCATTTTCTCTAGTTAACTGTCTCAGACTGGACCTACCTATGTCACGATGCACTGGTAAAGAGATCAGCCTAAAAGCAAGAAAGTCCTGATTCAAGGTCTTAGGAGACATCTGGCACCTTTATAAATCTTGGGAATTGAGATAACAGGGGTAACTGGGTCCTGGGTTCCAAGCAACTGACGTTAAGTTTCAGCAGAACCCATCTGTCAGAGGAGAGGCAGAACTAAGAAGCATAAAAGGGGATCAGGATGACAGTCAGTGCAGAGCTAAGAGTAAAACCCAGGTAGCCCAGGCCCCCTGCTTTGACCACTTAAAATATATTTTCCCTATTAATATGTGATGCAGAGTCTCACAGCCTTTTAGCACATAGCAAAGCCTGAAGCAGTTTCTTACATGAAAAGCAAATTGTTAGAAATAATTTCCAAAAAGGAAATTGTGAAAAGGAGTGAAATTGGTGAGGTGTTAGATCATTACCAGAGATAGCACTGGATTCGAAAACGAAGCACACTCACAGATGCACATTAGCTTTGTGAAGGATTGCCTTTCCACATGTTAGACTGCAGAAGAGTATTTCTTTGAAACTCTTCCCCAAAGAGAACATTTTCAGCCTATGAAATTCTCTGGTCCACTTACATCTTCTGCTGTAGCATACTATAATAGTGGCCCCTTTTCTTCACTTGAGAAGGCATTTTGATGGCTCAAGAAGATATCTTTCCTCAAGGATCAGTCACTTGGTGCTGCCTCTTTTCCTGTGCTAGGTGGACACGCTGGTGTTTTTACATTTTCTTCTAAAGCTGAGTTCAGCGGTAAATTCCAGACAACAGGACTTGAGTAACTCTGCGTTCAGCAGGTAAATTCCAGACAACAGGACTTGAGTAACTCTGCGCTATTCTTCCAACTAAGGCAAAGCTCAAGTACCTTGCAGGTCCACCTGGGATAGAGCTTGTTTTCATCTCTCATTTTAAAGACAGATGCACGTTTTTATAAATCATCCCCTTTTCAGCCTCTTACCCCAGTTGTAATCAAGACGTTTGATTTTGCCTTCCAAACCCAAAGATGATGAAAAGCAATTCTGTTTGAGACAAATTAATGCAACTCCCAGATCAGTTAGATGGATTCACTACAAGGCAATATATTACCCTCTCTTCCCTATTGGCTTCCAAGAATGGAACTAGAAGATGAGGAGAAGCAGCCAAAAGAATCACTATTAAACTTAAGGCTCTTTTAGCTCTGATGCAGGATCCTTTAACTGATGTCATCCATGTCTATCTGTGACAGGAATCAATGTTCAGGTCACACTGATATGTAGATTGGTGTGTAATTGCCATTGCACAGTATAAACATCAAAGCAAGGCTCAGGTTGAGTGTCCTACTGAAAGTTCATAATATTTGGAAGCTGTCACAATGGGGCTTGGAATTTAGAATGAAAACCCAAAATCATCACAGAGCATGCATGCACGCTTATGGAGGGGCTTGGCATTTCTAGTTCGTTGCATGGCTCTATTTCTTCCTCAAATTCTCCTCCCAAATATATTGCTGCAACTGCATGAAGTCAACAGGTTGCACCTGTGTAAGTGATAAACATGTTTCATTTCTGGCACTTATGATTTTCAGCTCCCCAAAATAGAGGGAAAGATGTCATTTCCTTATGACCCCACTCGTGTTCTCTCACTACACTTTCCCAAGGTCTTCAGACACTGGCGTGACAAACATGCTGCTCTGGCCCATCAACACAGATGCCCTACACCACTAAGAGAAAGAGGAGAAGGGAGTCATGTCCTCAGCTCAAGAATTTCTAGACAATTATAACCATTTGGGAGATTTTTGCTGTTCTACAGACCCTTGTTTCTCAACTAAGCTTAAAAAGAAAGTCTTTGTTCTGAAGGAGACATATATATTGTCAGATTTGTTGCCAAGCAGGTTCCATCTGGGAATGCATAACTTTGAGAAAACAGGAAACAAGCTGTTGGAGGATTTCCCCTTTACCTTTACTACTGATGTCTCGGTTGGAAAAAGAAGCCCAACATACCAAAACTTTCAATAGTAATAGCCTAATGGCTACAACCTACAGTAAAATTACTTAATTTTGGGGGCCATTACTGTCAAATGCCATTGCGTTTTTAAGGGCTTAGGATTCATAGCACCTGTTCCTTCCCTCCATGGGGTTTCCCTTCCACACCTTTCTTTGGCATCTGTCCCACATCTTGCTTTGACTGTTTTGAGCGGTGACAAAGAGGCTGGATTAATGAGAGTGATTGATCAAAAGATGGACCAAGTAGCATGTCTTACACAAAGCTAACCAATTCCAGACCAACAAAGGAAACTTAAAAACATAAAGACTTAAAATCACCACTATCCATAACCAAGAATTGACATCAAATCTCCATGCAGCAACAGCTGGAGAGAATTCCTCTCCACAGAGAGTATCGTTACAAAGGTCTTAGCAGCTACTTTGGAAATCAGTTCAATCAGATCAAACCAACAGAAATAAAGAAAACAGGAAAAAAACACTAATTACAAGCCCAAATTAAAAGGGGGGAGTTTTTATACGATACCTAAATTGACCATGAGTTTGACACGTCCTCCATCCAGCTCCAGGCGCAGGGTGTCAGCAGAGTCTCGTGAGGTGGTGGCCACTAAAAGTCCATAGGCACGCTGGGACATGAAGCGGAAGGATACGTCCTCTGCTTCTGTGTGCATGACCATGGGCATGATGATCTTCATGTACATGCTGCCGTCGTAGCTTAGGATGGAAGCCTCTGCAGAGAGCAAAAGAAACAACAGCAGACAATGAAGCCTTCTATGGCACTCTTACTCCTGAAGGACCCCTCAATTTTACAGAGTCCTTATATAGAAGTCATGTCACCTGCCACCAAATGCAGCCACTCTGGGAAGTACATTAAGGATGGCTGCTTAACCACACCCAGTAATCCTATAAAACAGATGTAAAAAGGAAACAGATGATATTATATTCACCTGAAATTACAATTTAACAAAGGAGAATGCAGTTACTCAGATTACAGTTTCTCAGGACACACAGATTAGCACTGTCTCACCGTGTTCACTAAATGGCACAGACTCTATTTTACATCTGTTTTGAGAGCTGGCACCACCTTCAGCTGCCCAGCTTACCCTAGCACTGTTCTGAGTGTTAGTTTAGACAGAGCATATTGAGTCAGCAGCACCTCTCCTCTAGCATATGGATTTTTATTTGGTGATCACATAGCCTGTATTCAAGGTTGTCACTTATTTGGTGGGGTATTTGATCCCATAAATAGCATGTTTCAATTCAATACACTTGCAAGGGAGCATAGGCTATGATAGCATTGTATATTTTCATAGTTATACAGTGATATCATGTAAAATGAACTGTATCCAGTAATTTTCCCACACCTTTCCTTAATGTCTTTGAAATGTACAGTAGGTGCTCACTCTGCCATCCACAGATAGAATAGGCTTGGCATTGAAAAGAATCACACAACCTGAGATTGTATTGCTTTAGCAACCATCACAACAAAACATCCATTCACAAACTGTGCGCAAGTTGGCACATCACTTTTTCACTCAGGGATGACAGGTAATGGCTGCTCCGACCTTGCAGAAGCAACGTCACACATAAGACAAAATATTCTAAAACAGTGCCCATGGCACAATCAACACTACAGAGAGCTACCAGTCCCTCTAAATACTAGCGAGCTGGGTGTCAGGCAGAAGGATGTCAGTGATCTAAAGCTCATCATTAGGAACTTGAAAAGGACAAGGGACATGCACACAACAAATCAAGTCCTGCACTTGTTTTACTGCTTCTGAGTTTTTGTAAAGCCCATTGTTCTTAGAAATTCAGTGCCCCCTTATTTATGTTGATATTCCTTTGGGACCCTGTGACAAGCTCCAGACCTACTTACCGCAGCGCTGGTATCCACTTGGCCAATCTGCAAGTGAGCCAGTTGGCGCCATGCAGCCCAAAGGAGCTCCGCCAGTTGGTCACTCTGGGCTTAAAAGAAGCCGGGGGGAGAGAGGTGGGAGCACCAGCAGCAGAGCCAGACACTCTCCCCACAGCCAGAAAGGACCTAGTGCATCCGTGCGAGGCCAGCATGCCCAGAGAAGCACTGCATACCTGTCTCGCTGCTGGAGCACCCAGGAAAAACCCGGACGTATGCCACAGAGCCAGCAGGCAGCCAGTAGCTTTTCCCAGAGCTAAAGTCCCTGGAAAAAGCTTGGAAGCCCAGACTGCCCAGGCGGCACTGGGGACTCCAGCAGGCACCAACTTGATTGCCGCAGCTGGTGAGCCAAGAAGCACAGATCTGTGCTTCCTGGCACCTACGATAACCTCTGCAGGAACATGCAGGTCAGCTGGGGCTGGGAGAGGGCAGCCCATAGGGCACTGCCAGAGACTACCGAGGGAAGAACCTGGCATAGGACCCCCCTGGCACTACACATTTCCCTCAAGCGTTCGCAGACCCAGACTGCTCTGGCAGGGGACTGGTAGAACTGTGAGTATTGTACAGGCATGGAGGGACACACCTTGCAGCATTATAGTACTTGGTCAGGTGGAACCCAGACCAGAAAGCATGCCCAACAAAGGGCACCACTGACTTAAGAATCTGTGGAAGAGGGGGGTGCCAGGCACCAACATACCCCACATGCTGAAGAAAAAGTGGTTAGCACGGGGGCATTGTTGCCCTGCCCACTGCACCATCCAAGCTACTTTAGTTGAATTATTGTTACATTGTGATTTTTGCAAGCATACAGGGACACAGCCAGACCTCCTGCAGCTGTCATCATTATCAGGCCTCAGTGAAGGAGGAGAGAGCCCTGTCACCAAATCTGAGCAGCATCCAGGCTGATCCTAAACACCTGAGCAGAAAGGGGTGGGGTATAGGAGAGGAGGAGCCCCACAGAAGACATGCCAGCAGAGTTGCCCTGGGTCCTACAGGAGCCACTGAACACCACCTCTGGACGTAAAACCCAGCATAACAACAAGTCATGGCAGGTGATTAGACCCAGGTGCGACATAGCCCAGGAGGCAGGACATGCTCACCGGCCAGTGAGGTGGTCGTGAGCCTGTCAAAGAGTTGCAAAAATCCTAAATGGGAAAAGAAGGGTTTGGGACAGTTCACTGAAGTGTAACTACGGGTAATGGGGTGAAACTAAGCAAAGACAAACTGAAGCTGAATAGCAGGAAAAAAGGTCTCATATAGGAGACCAGTGGTTTTCAACCTTTTTTAATTTGCAGACCCCTAAAAAAATGTGAATGGAGGTGCAGACACCTTTGAATTGTAAGCGTAGGTATTCACATACTTTTGATTGATCACAGTTATCTTCCATGGACCCCTTAGACACAGTCAGTGGACCCCCAGGGGTCCACAGACCACAGATTGAAAACCACTGTATTAGACTGTGGAACAGACTTCTAAGAGCTGCAGCTAAAGCCTGGTGTCTTGCAGACATTAAAAAAGAATCTAGGCAAAGCTCTGAAAAAGATGTCTATGGGAAGTTAGTCAGGGACAGATGTCCAGAACTTCTGTTTTGTTTTTGGGCCTACAACCTTGACTGTCTGCTCTCTTTTTGAGATGGGGTAACACTCATTTCTGTTCACAGGAGAGGTACTGTAGGGGACAAATCTGTACAAGCACAAAGGTGTCCTACCAGGTCTTGTCTGTGTCTGGTGTCCACCATTCTATCACATTTTTCCCTACTGCTGCCAGTTAGCTAATGTTTCTGTAGCTATGCTGACATAATTAATGGTGTTATGATGCAAACATGGGAAGAAACAAACCAAGATCCAGATGTAAGTGTTATTAGAAAAGCAAGAAATGTCAGGAGATGCAGGCAGAATGAGCGCTAGGAAACTAGAAAATGACAAAAACAACTGGGGAAGCAATTATATTTTTTCTATTTTCTTAGAGAATGTCACAAAAAATGGAGAGCTGAGCACAAGAAAGGAGCTAAAAAACAAAGTGCTTAATATTCTCTATTGGCACGGGTTTTGCTTGAAGAGATTGATATTCTTCTCTGAGGGGACAGAGTTAGATTCTTGGGCAAGAACAGTGGCAACCTGCACAGCGTTGTAATTATTGTTTCAGTCCCTGAATACGCACTAAAGGGTTCTTTGATCAGCACAATTTATAAATCTACATAAATGCATTAATGCATGAATTAGTGTCCCTTTTCATTGCAGCCAAACCCCACAGGAGGTAGAGCTGTGAAGATCATTCAATGCAGAATTTTTATCACAAAATCATGTAAAAGAACCTAGAGTTGGAAAAGACCCAGCTCTCACCTAATCCATCTCATTGACATCAATGCAGAATTGCTCCCTAATGCGCATTGACTAGTGTACTGTCCAATTTAGTTTTAGTTGTCCCAAGTCATGGGGGCCTTCAACACCCCCTGTGGAGAGCTATTCCACAATCTAACATACCTCACTATGAGGAAGACAGTCAAGACAGTCTGCACTTTCTCTTCTCTCCTAGTTCCCAGCAGAACTTCTATGTGCATATATGAGAGGAAATGAGAGACATGGAAACAATAAGCTTCAAAGAACCAATGCTTACTGTCTGCCAAACTTCAAATGGTGCAAGCCTTATTGTTTTTGGAACAAGAAATGAAGTCCTCCCCACCTCTAACTAATGTAGATTTGCTTATGGCCCTGGACAAAAAGGAATATGCTCACTTTTATTCTGATGATTGCTGGGTAGGCTTTCAGTGGCTAATTACAGTAATGTCATGGGTTAAAGCATGGGCCAGGAACCTCCAGCCCTTGGACTGGATCTGGCCCATGAAGGTCCAACCTGGCTCAGGGCAGCATAGGGAACTGGGTGACATGCAGCTACACTGAGCTGCCCTCTCTGTCATTCTCTTCTGCCTGTAGCATTTATCCTTATTGCAGAGGGACCAGACATTTGAGGGTAAGTGCAGGGAGCTGAGGGGAGGGGGGAGAGAAAGAGATTTGTAGCCCTCGTGACAGCAAAGGTTGCTGATCCCTGGTTTAAAGTGTTCTAGGTTCCCCCTCACTAAAAATGCTCAATCCATATCTTTTGTACTTACTCACTCACTCTGTATGTTTTAGCCGGACCCAAGAAGTCATTGCTATATAGGATTATACTTTTTTCCAGGCCCAACTATGGGTGGTTTGAGCTAAAGCAAAAGTTAATACTCGCTCTACTAAACCCATCCACACATCCCCTTCCATCCAACACCCCCCTTACACCCAGCCACTTGGGTGCCAGTTCCTAGTGCCAACCCAGGTCCTGCATCAGTTTCTGGTGAGGAAGCATAAAGGAAAGGGGAATTCTCTTTTTTTTCAGACTGAGCAGCTGGGTTTACCTGTAAAAGCACAGCCCCTTTCCCCTTTACATCTGTACCCCTAATTTACCACCCAGAGCTGCACACTAGAACCAAATGCACTCTGCAAATAGTCACAGGCACTGTGTATATACACACATGCTTTCACTCTCTCTTCTCTCACTGTGGATTGTATTAGAGAATGCAATCAAGCATGAAATGGCTCTTTTGACACCTTCAGCTCAGATGTGCCCTGCATGAAAGAGTTATTTGCGCCAGTGTCTGAATACAGTTAGGGGGAGTGGGAGTGGGGAGAGTGTCAGAACGTGGTTGCACTGGGGGAATGTCAGAGTTTGTGTATGTGTGTAAGGGACATAAGACCCCAAAAGTAGCCCTCCCTTCCAAACTGCTATTTATGTGGAAGCCATTTGGTGCTTAATGCAAACTGGAGCTTTTCTGTGAGGTTTGGAAG